TTAGCCTGGTGGGTCACTGTCACACACCTGCTGTTTCACACGCATTCATTGACGTGACTTTGATAAGAAGGCTGACACTATTGAATCGGGTAACAGCAGAGGGGTACGTGTTCACTTCATTTCTGTCCTTGCTGACTTAACAAGTTGAAGTAGAACTGTAAAATGGCCTGCGGTAATAAGAAACCTACATCAAATCTAATCCTCCCATCAGCTTACAGAGTTTGAGGTCCGTTCTGTAATTGACAGCTTATTGGAGACAACTGATGCTCCTCATGCAGTTAAAGGGATAGTTCACCGCCAAAAAAATTAATTAACTCACCCTTAAGTTGTTCCAAACCTGTATGATTTTCTTTCTTCTGCTGAACACAAAATAGGATAATTTGACGAAAGTTGGTAACCAAACAGTCGCTGGTCTCCATTGACTTCAACAGCATTGTTTTTTTTCTCCATACTATGGAAGTCAATGGTTACCAACATTTTTCAAAATATAAAGAAAGTCATACAGGTTTGAAACAACTTGTCACGGCAAAATGTTCATTTTTGTGTGAACTATCCCTTTAACGCTAGACATAAACGGCTTTCATGTGTTATACTATATGATGTGCGACTAGTTTACAATGCCACATGAGAAAAACACGCCAGTGTCATCTTTCTGATCGCTTTCTATCATCGGAATGATTGATGTGTGTGAGCATCTTATGCTGCATTGCCGCAGTAACCACGCTGTGTCCCTCCGGACTGGAGGCATTTCCCACAGTTCATTGCAGTCCATGGGTCATTGGTCTCTCCAAATAGCTCTCCGTATGACGCCTGGTTCCCTACTCGGTCTAAATGCTGTGATTAAACTGTTTCCACCACAACAAGAAGTCAAGCCTTGCGTCAGGCTTTACCCCGTCGGTGGTGAATATGCAGAGAAATCAAGAAGTCATGACTTTGACAGGCATTTTCGTGCTGTAGCAATCTAATGGCAGAGTTGTGCCTAGCATTTTCTCTTTTGATTGAAAAATTAATGACGGCTCCACATGTGTTTTAGAGGCTTTTAATGTGACACTGTCTGCTGCTCAATGTCATTAAGGCTCATTTGAAACGTTATCGAAGACAAATGATCTCAATTAGATCGAAAATTTACTATGGCAGAACTTTCCCTGTTGTCATTATGTTAAAATGGTCTCCGGTCTTATTCAGGCAGTAGACTGTTTGATGATTAGAGCTTCATGAGAAATAGACACGGTCTACGTGAGCGGAGAGTAACATTCTTACGTCCATTATAAGCACATTACCTCAAAGCGCTGCAGAAAATGCTCGCACCTCTGAAAGATAAGGGCACGAGGAGGAGGAGAGGATCTCGCTTGGTCATTTCAGATTTTAACGACACATTTCTGGCAGCGGGCTGCCCGATAGCTTCGGACCCTCTTAGATCATCAGACGGGGGTAATCTGCAGTGACAGCCCGTCTGGTCTCGCTTCACCTTGACCTCGGCTTTAATTTACAGATATAGTTGTATCAGGTCGCCACGTGCCCTTTTACCGGTGCAAAATACAGTTCAACAGCACACCTGGACGCACTAACAAACCCTCCAGGTGCGACAGTGCTTCTGTGACTCATTTAGTCATATTCAAATGTCGTGTGAGGGTCACGCATGCTGTGTTTTTTAATTTGGATATATGGCTGCTGCAGTATCCAATTACTTCCTTGTTAAAACGGTCTACGTTTCTCAGAGAAATACTTTGCAGGTGAATTAAAGTTGCATTGATATTTGAATTATAAAATTACATTGTCAGATTACAACGGCATCAAGCGATTTGATTAAATGGCCTCCATAAGTGTGATTGTTTTTTTGTTTTTTTTAAGCCTTCTTGCCTCTTCACTGGTTAAGAACCACACAGATATACATATACAAGTACAATGGGGTTAATAGTTAGATAAAGCTCAGTGATTACAATTAATGAGTTAGAGATCTTGAAGAGGCATATTGGAGATAGGAGAGATGAGGAAAGTTGTCACACTTTTTACTCCAGTAAATAAGATTTATTTATTTAAGTCCTGAAAAAACATGTTTTTTTTCTCTCTCTCTACATAATTGCCTATGAAAAAGGTGCAGTTCATGTTACATAGGCTATTTAATAGTTTTTCAGCCGAATGAAAAAGGTATTTATATTCAATATTTCAATTTGTATTTCATTGAATAATATTTATTCAAGTAGCAATTGTTTTGGCCAACAGAAATTGTAATTAATAAAGTGTATACAATTGCAACATAATAAATAAATGTGACAGACTGATATTAAAATTAAACTAGTAAAATTGCTTGAAATAACTTGAAATAAAAAATAAATTAAACAAAAGTAGTAGTAACAAATTGTGCTAAAATGTGAATAAAATTAAACAATGTATAAAAATAAAATATATTTATATATAAAATATTACTAAAGTACAGTATATAAATATAAAGTATATTATTAGTATTATTATTAGATAATTATAAAGTAACACTGGTGTGTCTGTCTGTCTGTCTATCTATCTATTTATAATATTATCTATCTATCTATCTATCTATCTATCTATCTATCTATCTATCTATCTATCTATCTATCTATCTATCTATCTATCTATCTATCTATCTATCTATCTATCGATAGGTTATTATACCCTTTGTAAATTGTTATCATTGAAATTCTTTAGTGAACAAAAATATTTTTAAATTGCAAGAAGCATGCTATTTGTACATGATAAGTGGATGTTTAGTAATGAAACAAAAGAAAAACAACAAAGATTTAAAGACCTTCCTTTTGGAACTTCTCTATCACAATTAGACACTATATTTCATTATGTTTATCCTTTAGGCGTTTTTCTGATTGATCTGTATGCTGTATGAGGGAGACTATGTGGGAGAGAGATGATATTCTATACAATAGATAAGTGGCTCCTTCTGTAGAATGGCTATATTTTTGCATTCGTCTGTAACACTCGATGTTCAGCTATGACTGTAGAGAGATTGTTTTTTTTTTTTTTAAGAGATTGCAGAAACAAGAACCCTTCTGAGTTAAAATGGAAGAGCAGCTCGGTAGCTTCGGAGAGAAATATCTTCACAAATGGCCGGTCAGGAGCTATTGATCAAATGAAAAGTGGATCTCGTTCAGTGATATCCACACTTTTGATGCATTACTGTAAGTAGAGTGAGGGTAGATTTACATTGTCAGCTCGGATTGAGTTGTGGAGTGAATGTTGGAGGAAAATGATTACCTCCTCTTCTGCCTCACAATGAAATCTATATATGTGAGATGGACAGTGTTTCGCTGTAGTACAAATATGCCTCTACACACCTGCACAATACAAATCTCAGTGGAACCGCAACCCCATCCATGGATATTTTAAAGGGTCCATCATTCAATCTGAACACAGTGACCAAAGGAGCAAAAATATGGTTACTATATATGCATTCTGTATATACATCATTTATTATTGTGAAAGCCAACTGAAAATATCTCTGAAATGCAGTTATCATTCCTCCTCTACATGCATTTATCACAGTATATAGATAGATAGATAGATAGATAGATAGATAGATAGATAGATAGATAGATAGATAGATAGATAGATAGATAGATAGATAGATAGATATATTTAGACATTTAGACATGTTATAGTTTTTATTGATATACTTTAGATTTTTTTTTATTGCATCAACTAAATGAACCTTAGAACTGTTGCCTTGGCAGCAACTTGAAATACGTTTTTAATCTAATTATTTATTTCAGCTTTCATTTAATGAACAAAAATGGTTTATTAACTACAGTTGTAATTAAGAATAATAACCCTGATATGTATACAACCTTTTGAACTGCTGTTAGGAAGCTGTGCTATTGGGATTGGTTTTGTGTTGCGGGTTAAGGGAAGTTGCATGTTTGAACCATGAGCAATTACCCTTGCACCCTTGAGCGAGGCATCTAACCTCGAGTTGCTCCAGGAGTTTGTTCCTGTAATTAGTGTACTGTAAATCACTTTAGATAAAAACAACTGCTAACGGCATGCTGTTTATTTACCCTAACTCTATAAATAACTCTAAATCTGAACATGATATTCCATATTACCTACTTTTATAATTAAATATCAGATGAAAAGCCTCCAAACTGAATGTGTGTTTTGGGGATATGGCAAATATATAGCAGACATATTTCATCCATAGTGACTTAGAGAACACTAATTCGAGGGTCTGTCTCTATGGAGTGTTGTAGGGTTAAGTGACTTGCTCAAGGGTGCAGTGGCATGGCAGGACTCTGATGTTTCTGGGTCACCCTAACTTGAGGCTGAACACACATAGCAACATTTGTTTGGAAGTATTAGTCTCAACCATTACATGTACTAATCTAGATTAGCCCTTTGATTTTAACACCCTTATGTGTAGCTGATCCGAGATCAACCTTCGTACACTACAGTATTTCAGTGATTTCAGTATTTCTCTGATCCGACGCTGGCCTCCAGACATTTTTCTAAATTTAAACAACAGTCTTGTATAGAACATGCTTTTGTCTAAAGAGCTTCAAACTTGAAAAATACATTTCCTATCAAACTTTTCTGCCTTTTAAGCCATTTTTCCTTGTGTTTGAAGTCAGGGTTGAAAGTCTAGTTCCACCAGTAGGGGATTGGGGGAGGTGAATACTCTGAACAATGTTTTAGCATGGAAAGATAAAAGGTTCCACCAAACGTATGACTCGCTAACTTGTGCAGGCACAAGCAAAATGTCTTCATTGCTGCTTCTGCCTCTCTCAGCAGTTTAACATTCTCCTAGTCGTCGTAATTAGTTTATCATGTGTGACTGTGGAATAGCATGTCTTTTTTATTTAATGAGAGTTTGAGTTTTTTTTTTTCATTCTTTTTTTTCAGATTTATTTTGTTGTGAAGTTACCTACACAAATACTACGGACCTGAGAGTTGTGTATAGAAAGTGATGAATGCTTTCACTGTAATATAAATATTTCCCTGACAGTGTGCAGTTGGAGCATGTTGCAGCATGATAATGCACGGCCCCATGTTGCAAGGACCTGTAAACAATTCCTGGAAGCTAAAAACATCCCAGTTCTTGAATGACCAGCATACTCACTGGACATGTTACCCATTGAGCATGTTTGGGATGCTCTGGATCAGTATATACGACAGCGTGTTCCAGTTCCTGCCAATATCCAGCAACTTCGCCCAGCCATTGAAGAGGAGTGGAACAACATTCCACAGGCCACAATCAACAACCTGATCAACTCTATGCGAAGGAGATGTGTTGCACTGCGTGAGGCAAATGGTGGTCACACCAGATACTGACTGGTTTTCGGACCCCCCGATACAGTAAAACTGCACATTTTAGAGTGGCCTTTTATTGTGGCCAGCCTAAGGCACACCTGTGCAATAATCATGCTGTCTAATCAGCATCTTGATATGCCACACCTGTGAGGTGGATGGATTATCTCGGCAAAGGAGAAGTGCTCACTAACACAAATTTAGACAGATTTGTTAACAATATTTGAGAGAAATAGGCCTTTTGTGTACATAGAATTTTGTTCAGTATATATATACGTATATACTCTCTCTCTCTCTCTCTCTCTCTATATATATATATATAGAGAGAGAGAGAGAGAGAGAGAGAGAGAGTTTATATTAAAAGTCCAGTTTTCAAATATTTTATCGCAATTAGTTTACCAACATTTGTTTCTATTTATGTATTTATTTATTATTGTGTTTGTTTTTTTCAGATTTGTTTTGTTGTGAAGTGTAGCGAATCAGCTCATGGGGAAATATGAATAATTAACCATAACTAGTTATAATTAACTATTCATATTTTAGATCCACTGTAGATATTTAGCTGACCACTCAGGGTCAACCGTCTTGTCAATTCTAAGAACGTTAATTTCCTGGTTAAAGGAAATAACTTTCTTACTGTACAATTCTATAAGTTTGTAACATAAATCTGCATGATTATTGACTCCGGTTATGAGCAAACAATGAACACGTCAAGTGTGATACAAGTAAGGTTTTATCGGCTCGCATTCCACAAGGTTGTAAATGTATCGGGTTACCATGAAACCAGGGTCTTGTTCGGCGTCCTGGGGTGTTACAAAGTATTTGTGAAATCTAGCTAACAAAATATATATTGTGTGTTGGAGTGTTCCAGACGCTACAGAAGTTATGTACACAAACACTATGTATCTGAGAGCAACATGTAGAAAAAGATGAGTGCTTTGCATCTTCTTTCACTGTAATATAAATATTTCCATGACGCTGTGCAGATGGAGTGTTTTATTATTATAATTTTTTTTTTTTTCAGAACCAATTTTTATTTTCACTGGGAGCTGCTGCCCATCATTGGAAGTGAAGGTCACACATTTTACAGGTCCTCCGAGGGAAGGTGGAAAATGAGAAATGCTGTGGCATTAAAAAAAGACTGTAGTAGTTACATTGTTAAAAGAACGATTATTAATATTGAGCTATTCAAGGTCAGAATAGAAAAGAGGGCAGCTGCAGTCCTAATAGATGCTTATTTCTCCGTTAACCTTACGCGTGTAATAGCGGTCTAGAGTTAATGAAATAAAATGCCAATTATACTCTACCTCAGCTTGGCCATGACCGCAACCAAAGGCCTTTACACTTGAATGAGAACAGAAATGCTGCGGTTCTGCCTGTGAACAAACTAATATCAGAATAACAACATAAGTTGTTATTGAAATTTTATTTTTTTTAATGATCTACGTAAAATGTCCATATACTGAATGGAAAAAGCCTTGGTTTAAAGACATACTTTATTCAGAACATAAAGCCACGCACTGCAGCTACATTCTTGATAATTGGTGTGTGTCGTAATCCATCAAACCCTTAATTAAATGCAGTATTGACTCTGCAGTGATTTAAAATATGCCTTATAACTTTAAACTATCATTAGGTGGGTTGGAATGACAGATCGTCTATTGGTTAATTAGTTAATGACTTCAGTTTTCATTTATTATCGCGGCGCAGGAAAGACAAACTGTGTTTTCAAGATTAAACCCTGTTAGGTTAATTTAAGGACACAGCTGATTCAAGAGAGGAAACTTTTCTGTGTGCAGCCAACATGATCACATTAGTATTCATGAGTATTCGTTTATAAATGGTCGTTGTTTGCAAACTTGTCACCTGTGGCTGGGAATTCCTGTTCTGACTATTTAAATTTGAGGATGTGTACAGAACTGTATGTCTGGACATGTGCAAGAGGTGTATGTATTAGACCTTTCAGTATGTTTCAACTAGGAAAACGGATTTAGATGACCCTAGTAGGACTGTATGGATATAAAAAATATATAAATAATAGCAGCTGTTGAAAGTATTTTTGTTACCTTTATTAAATATATGTTGTTGCATGGAAATAATATCCATATAAAAAAATAAAAAAAAAATAATA